CCCCCCCCCCCCCCCCCCGGGTTCGAACTTGGTCGATTCATCGCTGGAACTCGTCTCTCTACGTCAGGGGAATCACCAACCGCAGCGAGACCGTTTGCTACAACCGGTGCTTCTTGAACTCGGTTGTGCAACTGTTGAGGGCCTCCCCCGGCCTCGTGAGCCTGCTGCTGCGAGAGTCCAAGGTTGGGCCTGCCGGTACGTGCCTTCCCCTGTGTGCGCCTACGTGTGATGATAATCTACGTATCCATGTACGTTGTCCCCAACTGATGTGGAACAATAGCCCACAAGGTTATTTGGAAAGCATTGCGCCGCAAAAGAAGTACGTGTCCATGCTTGGTGTTCAGCGAGCGTCGAGGCACACCAGGGCATGCCCAGCCACAGGAAGTTTACCCAGGACGCCATCTTCTCTCTTACGTTCTAGATACTGTTGGTGTTGTGGCCGTCGTCGTCATCGTTGCACTCGGTTACGCGCAACGCCTCGTCGTCGAGCTTCTTTGCCGTGCAGCCTGCACAAGTTGCCAACTTTACTTGGGCTGATCAATTGGTCGTGTTTAAACACATGTTGTCGATGGCCCGGACAACAGCTCGAACAACACGGCGAGCGAGGGAATGGTTTCTTTCCACTCCATGGTAAACATTGATTGATCGAATCCCCTCGTGGTTGCAATGAACCGTGACGCAGCACGGCTGCTGGAGGGAGGACGCTTGTGGAGCGACCCCGCCCCTCGAACGTTGGAGGAGCTCCAAAACGACCTCCTCTTCCAGCTGGCAATGGTTCTCAAGGTGGGCCTAAGGCGGGTAGTCGCGTGGTGCGAGATAATATGTGATCTAGATGCTTAAAGATGTTGTGTACTATGGTGGATCGCCAGACAGCGCGGTTCCTAACGCCAATGGTATGCGGGCTTGGGTGGTGGCGGTGGAGCGACTCCTTGCGATAACAGAGTCAGCATGCAAATTTCCACTCGTTGCAGAACCGTTCAAATCTGGAACATTAAAGCTTTTGCCTGCGTCCGGCGGTTTCCTCTGCTCGTTGTCCTTGCCGCGCAACCACTGCAGATCTCACGATACGCAAGGGGGTCATTACCACGCACTACTCGACCTGTGTCATCGTAAACAACACCGTCGTAGCGTGACGTTTTGGTGCGGGTTTGTCCCGTGAACGACCGAAGATTTTCTCGGTATCGTAGATAACAAGGCCGCCTGTATTTTCAGTTCCCACGTACTTGGAAGCCCCTGGCAACAATGCTCCGCCATTCACAGCATGTTTCTAACCGGCGGCCATTCCATACATGAGACATCTCACGTTCACGTTCACGCATGTTTCGTTCTACAAGGTTTCCGCTCGGTGGCCGTAACGGCACTGCGAGCTGGTAGCTGCTTCCTCGCGCAACCCACCCCCCGCCATCGATCATCGAAGGTCAAGGGCCTGCATGCATGTCTCCGCACATTGCGGCGATTCGCACCGCAAGCACATGAGTGTGGTGATGCCTCTGTTGCAGTCGAGGCGATCATAAGGCTGCATCGGAAGTTCGGAATGTAACCAGCGGCTGTCTTCCCACCCCCACCTACCGTCCGAACGACCGGCTGCCCCGAATACGTGCAGTCCATGGAGGTGGGAGGGACCGAGCCCATGGCCATGAACAAGCTCGATCTCGCGACGCGGACGCTTCTTGCGGGGAAAGACAGGGCGAGTGTTTAGGTCTGCCGTATGGCGTGATAGCGCCCGAGCGTTGTGCTAACGGTAGGGTCGTTGTGAAGCCAGTGACAACTTCTTCCCGTCTTACCTTCGCCACCGAACAAATGCTCGATTTGAGGTACTCGCAGGGTACTGTCGCGCGATTCTCCTGGAGGTCTCCCAACTCCCTAAGCGTTTCCACGGAATGGGTCGGTGCTCTCGACTGGAACTCTACTCTTGTCGCGAGCAATTAGAATAGTCCGCCCCGCAACCTTGGCTTGAGTTCACGGCATTTTCCTCGAGCCATAGTCCTACCAGAGACCACTATCAGCCGGCTCCCCCCGGTCTGATTCAGCATAATTTTCACTCCGGGCCTCGCCTTCTGCGCATGCCGCTACGCGTTTTTGTGACCAACAGGAGGTAAAATTGGCAACACAGGAGGACGCAGTGGAAACACTTCAGGTGTTCGTCGAGGCGATATTCTCCGTCTTCAAGCCGGAGGTACCAACGTCCGGCGTGATGATGGCAACAAAGTACAGCAGATTCAGTAGCTCTTCGATCCTTCTTGCAGAAGATTGCAACGGCACTGATCGGAAAAGATTCGCCGCCCTTGCTATTTCGAGCGGATAGTCCAAGTGTTGTCGCCTTGTGTGAATGAGGGCGCTTCTCGACATTGAGAGTTACTCCAGACACTTGAGTGCGGCGAGTGCAGCGAAACACGCAGCACCATCGGTTAAACGGTAGAATGCTGCACCCATCGCTTCACGCGGCTTGTTTGTATGTACAGTCGAACTTCGGAGAAGGACACACCTGTTTTTTTGCTAAGAAATAGCGTCTAAGGCGGGGAAATGTCCTTTTGGTCAATTCCCTTCCTTATGTTGTACATTATGCGGGCCACCATGCCTATGATTTTTGGTGTCCTTATGCGAGGCACGACTGACTGTAATTTGTGCCACGAACAAGAGCAAATGTTGCCTGTTGTTTTCAGGAGATCTACTTCATGGACTGTGGCGACTTCGTTTTCGCCGGCTGCCACAACGACGGCTGCAACCACGTGAGTGGTTACCGTTAGAAGTGGTGTTACCATTGTCGTTATCATCTCGTCGTTCTGATAAGTGTTACCACTGCCACGCACAAGTCGGGCGCGGAGCGTCGTGACCATAAGTGCCCAACCACCCGTAATTCTGTACAGCGACAGTCGAGGTAGTGTGCCTTCGGCATGTTCAGACCCTTGCAGGACACGTCCTCAAAATGAATCGGTGAACGTAGCAGGATCGGCACTCTCTCGATAACCACTGCATGTCTCAGAATAACCAACCTTAGACATGTCTCTGCGAAGGGTTGTAATGCCAGCCGCATTTGTTCTCGTCTGAATGTCACCGCTTGAGGTCAGAAACGGCGCGTGGGTACACAAAATAGCGGGATAAGCATTCGACCGATCGAAGTAGTTTGTGCTTTGTCCCAAGGTCCATTTCGCGACTGTTTCGTGACCGATCACACAATACTCCCGAGGTCTAGATTATACTGGCGGCGAGTGACCTCTTGGTTAGCCCGGGCCGATAAATGACCCACGTACGAACAAGGGAGTTGGGTCTCGACCCGGTGGGATGCCCAGAAACTCGACTCAAGTGGTTCCTCGGTTCCTGTATCCCTGTGTGTCGATGCAGGTCGTCGAGCTGCGATTCCCAGGGGTTCTGCCCGTGGAGCCCTTGAAGGTGGACTACACCAGCGCGAGAGATGTCGCAGAGCTGGAGGAAGACTTCGGGGAGCTAATGGAGAGCGTCAAGGACAGCGGGAAGACCGAGCTCTCCTTCCTGCTCAACAACGTGCGTTCACTTTCCCCTTGCTTGACGACGTACGTAGCCTGACTCCCAACCCCACCCGCTTCACAGAAAAGTGTAGAAATCGCAAGCAACACTGCACATCGTCCTTGCATGCCAATCTCTTCTTTCAAGAGAGACGCATTCATCGACTCTGCAGCCCGGGGAAGAACGTCCTGAACCTTCGCAAATGGTGCCCGGATGAAGTGTTCCGATGTTTTTGTCACAGCGGGCGAGTGCTAACAAGGACCAGGGTCGCTTCCCTCGGAAAACATGTTCGGTATACCCCGAGTCCGCCTGTCCATGATGGACGGTGTGCGGTAGAATTGAGAATACTACCCAAAGAAAATACTACATATCAATACGCAAATATGATAGACAAGGGGCTGCATGACACTTCGACGAAACAATTCATCTGAACCATTTCCGCTGATTTTCATGCGCATGGCCTGCGTTCCGTTCTGTTTGGCACGTGCTATCTGTCTTCCGCAGATCGAAGACTGGGAAGGTTGCGCTAGCCACGCCTGCCCTGCGTTCTACCACGCGGAGGTTGGTGACACTATGGCCTTACCTGATTTTCGCTCGTTTCTCCTCGGCGGTGGAGGGAAAGTAGGGAGCTTCCTCGCTGCCGTCGGTGGGATTGTTGGTGCATGGTCGATCTATTGGTTGTATGAAACATCGAAGGTCTCCCTCCCTCAACGTTTCGCGCAAGTCAAGACCCACGTTCCTAGGCATTCTGCAAGCGCGACGCACCTTGAGGATCCTTATGTTGGGGGTGTCTCATGGTACGCCAGCGAAGTCTGTTACGATGAGAGGCGTTTGAACTCGCTGCGCGAGACTTGTTCTCAAATCTTTGTAGGCGTGACGCGCTCCTTAACATTCGCACATCTTGCATACCACAGGAGAAGAAGACGCTCCAGCTCGGGACTTCGCCGCAGTCGCTCTTGGTCCCGATCAATCGGAACGTGACTGGGTGAGACTTCAACCTCCTATGCTGTGCACGTCGTAGTGTACATTCAGCAGTTCGTTACACAATCTTGCCACCAACCATACACCTGCACCGACATGTTTGGATGAACGTCGCCTCAAAAGAAGGTTCCAATCGTTGGAACGAATATTGAGTTAACAAGCCTTCAGTATCAACCACGTAGCGACGTGCTTGCCGGAAATTCATCGAATAGCCTAGCTTCAGGCCGGCTACTGCGATGGAGCTTGAGATACTCGGGGTTTGTGTTTCGGTGGTGATGCTTCACCTAGTGTTCCTGCATGCTCTCTTCCGCATCTCGCTGATGCTGCACGACAGACAACCCCAAAATAGAGATTGTCGCTGCGGGTGACTGTCCATCTTGGCATTCCGTGCATGCATGCTCATAAACAGGCAGGATCTTTGAGGCAAGCGCCGTAGTGATGCAGACTGGTTTGAGATTCACGAAAGGAGCCTTGCATGCATTGGGTTATGCCCCTTGGCTGACTCGCGACTGGTCTTTGACCATCTGGTAGGTATTCCTCACATAGGCAAATGGCGGAGTTCGTTCATTGTGGCTAGCATTGTTGTTGTTGTTGTCGTTGTTGCTGCTGCTGCTGCTGTCGTTGTTGATGGTGATGATGATGGTCGGTTCCCGGCGCTGTTGCCGTTGTCACCATCTTCGTCGAGCATGTCGCCATTGATTCTCTTTCACGTTCTGAACTTGTTTCGCAGGTCCAAGATCACCAGGGACGTGACATTCCCCCTGGACGACTTGGAGCTGCTCACAACCGAAGCCGACGGCACGCGTGAGTGACGAGCCTGCACACGCCTCCAACCTCGTGTTTTTTGGCCGACAATCGAAATCACACAAACGTCCGCAGCTACACCCCGCCAAGGGCTACGTGCACACCGTGTGAACCCCCGGTGACTTCTACCCTATGGGCGGGCCGGGATGCGAGGTCTACCCTTCAACTTGCCTGACCCCGCACATGACTGGCCCGCATCTCGCTGCCCAGGGGGGGGCGCGACCAGTCAGCGCTACACGTAGCGCTCCCTGATTTTCCAGCTCTTCCCGAAGTCGGAGTTTGTTGGTTTAAACCTCGTCCTGCAGTGTGAACTGACGAGTCTTCCTTTTTCCCATCACCGTGTTCTCTGTATTTTGCTTGACCCGCAACAACAACTCGCCAGCAACAACAACGCACTACATGGCGGTCGCCGTCATGCAGCATTGGGGTCCCTACTGCACCAGCGGCCACAACGTAACCCTCGTGCGGAAGGACTCGAAGGCAGGGTCCGAGTGGTGGCTGTGCAACGACGAGGACATCCTCTCGGTCTCGTCAGCTTGTGTCACTCGCAACGCCGTGGCGGTCTTGTACCGCCGGGTGCCGGATTCCTACGTCCCACTTCGATAACGTCAGATTTTTACTCTACTAGTCTACGTGTATCGCCTAGGACGGTTGTTGCGATGAGGTGGGAACTTGGGTCCCACTTCCACGAAACGTCAGAAGTACTATCGTTGGGGTCGTTACGGTGCTGCGGGTGCAGGGGTCGAAGAGCACCTAACCTGTGGAGAGGTGCTGGTGTTGGAGCATGGCTTTGAGCGTGGCGAGTCTTCGTTGCGAGGAAGGAAACGTTCATGCTTGACCGGGGAATGTATCTACAGTAATTCAACAGAAACACGGGATGTCGTAGTCGAGAGTGTTGTCTGACCAACTCCACACCTGGTATACGTGGGTGATTGTATTTTTTACACGGAAACCTCCCGGCAAAGAGGATCTCTCCTCGGCACAGTGGTGGTGCTTGCAGATGTACGGCTTTTGGGCAGAGAAAACTACCAACTTTAGACGTGTGGCACGTAAGTTGGCTCGTGTTGATGGGGGAAATCACTCGCACGACGCCTCCCCGTGGTCGTACTTGCCCCGTCGTCTGTTTGTTTTTGTACTTGCACTTTGTGTAGTTCGCCGATGATAACGAAAACTCCAAAGTTCGTGTCAAACCTGTCCAGATTGCGTGTTGGGATCAACCTCTCCTCGCTTTCAACTCAAGCGATTTGGAGTGGGGGGGGCGCTGCATCATTTTCTCTGACTTCTTCGCGTTGGTTGTTTTATTGTTCGATCATGAACAAACGCGTTCAGACGCCGCTTGGACCCGACGGGCAACCGTGATGCATAAGGACCTCAGAGAGAACATTGCCTCAGCGGGGCGAGTCATATCCTCAATGGGCCACGCCCCTCGTGCAGCGACCAAGGGGGCTCGCGGTGCAGTGCGTACAATTGAGGATTCAGTCGCGCCTGGCGGGGATGAGGCTCGATTGTCGGGATTGTTGAAGTTGTTGTGCTCAGTGCAACTCCTCTTGTGACGAGTTACATGGAGTTTCTCTTGGTATTGTGAGAAGTTTTGTCGGACAACCGTCTGTGTCATAGCTTAGGTTGTTCTGTGGGCACCATGATGTGCCGCTGCAGTGTGATGCAGAGTCGGAGTATTGGAACGGTTCCGGGATTGATCTTACCGCCCGTGGGAATTGTTGTACACTTGAGTGCTGATTTCCGTGTTGGGTGAAGGCGTAACAAACCTCTCCCAGACGGGCTCACTATTCTTCGGGTGCTTCCTGTGGTGGTGGTTGACTTGTTTGTCCAGAAATGCCGTGTTGTACGAAGCGTGCCGTGTGTATCTCAAGTATGCTTGGTGTGTATCGGAGGGCATCGATGATGGATGGATGGATACAGAGTAGTCTCCTTCTCAAGCACGCGTTGCCTCGTTGCCCGTGTGTTGTATGTGTGCGTTATGTGTCCCAGTTTGTTCTGGCGCCAATCGCACCACGTGGACAGAAGGCTTACCATGTTCCCTCGTTGTCATATGTGTGTTGCGTCCCAGTTCATGTGGCGCCAGTCATACCACATCGAAAGAAGGCTTACCATGTTCCCTCGTTGTCATATGTGTGTTGTGTCCCAGTGTTTATTGGCGCCAGTCGTGCCACATCGAAAGGTGTACCAGAAATAGTTTTCTGATTTATCAGCCGGGATCACATAGACAAGAGGTATTACGTTGAGTATTTTTTTTGCCCGCCTGTCCTCCTGCGATGCTTGCCTTAACTGTGCTTGTTAAGTGTTTGTCTTGAGTAGGCACTTTGTAAAGCGGGGCTTGAAGTGGTGGCGCAGACGCCCGATGAGATGGTAATGTCAGGAAATGCCCCCCGTGGGATTGTAGTGGTAGGAGAATGCCGCCTCAGGGAGACAAAATTGAGGCATACCATCAGCTTGGACTCCATAGGATCTACACGTGTGGTAATGGGATGAGATGGGAGAAGAGTTGCGTGCTACGCTGATGGGATGGGGTGGCATTGGTAAATTCCTGTTGCTGGGATGAGATGGGAACCGCTGGGTGCTTCCATAGGACGGGATGGGTGCGTCCACGACAGACAGGTTGATGATGGTAGAAATGTGAGGTCTTCCCCTGGTGACGATGACGATGGTTTGATGTTTCAAGGTTTGCCACCGTTCTTGTTCATGGCGAGGACAGTTCACCATATGGCACACACCTCGTCGCAAAACTCCACTATATTCTGCCCAAAGAACACAAAAACCGTGTACTCGACGGGCTGTTCCTCTCTCACGTACCTTTCTCTCGGTTGCCTTCCCCCCTACTCAATAATCATAAGTACACAGTTATTTCAGAAAAATGGCAACACCCCCCCACACACCCGAGGCATTCTGGGCTGTGGACTGTGGTCTTGTGTAGAGAGCCACTATTGTGTTGGCACCGCTTCTGGCGTCACGGTCCGCCGTTTTTGGTTTACACACAGAAAGAGCCGGAGGGGGCGGGGGGGTGCCAACTACTGCATGTATTACAACGGGGGTTGGTATCGTCTATTCCCGCTACCGGGTGTAGTGTAAGATCCTGGAGAACAGGGTTCAGCCGCCTCGTCGACCGTGACGTCCAAGTGTGTATACTTCATGTACAGTACGTACTCTTCAAAGTAATCGCTTTCATATCAACATGGCGGGGGGGGGGGGCTTGGGAGAGAGAATCGAACCCACAACCTGCTATCCTAGGTTGGCGAGGTTGACCGCTACTGCTGTAAATTGAAGGCCCTAAATTGAAGACCGAGGTGACCAGATAATTAGTCGATGAGGCATCGATCGAATATTTTTTCGAGGAAGACGTCAGAATTTTCTCATGCCAGTATTCTCTTGTGCTATCGAGCTATGCCTACATACGGGCTCTAATCACCTCGCACACTGCCACCCACAAAATAGTTGACATATCTCGCCGATGGTATCGTTCAACTTTTGGGCAGCGGTGCACGTTCAACAGCAAGCAGCACAGACAGAAACAAGACATCCATTATTCGCAAGATACCACGCTGGACCGATTTTCAGGGCTCGATTGCCCTGCGGCACAAACAGCGACGGGGCGAAAATGGTGGCGTTAGACTACTGTCTCTTCGAGATATCTCCGAAAATGGATTGTTTGACTGCTGTGGCATCCCCTTCTTCGTCGTAGAGTACTGCTGTAGTCGAGCTTTGAAACTGCTGTCGAAGGGGGTGTGGTATCTTACGCAACCTTCAGCAGCAGCACTACATACGGTAGCATACGGCGAACGACCGACCCGTAGTCATTTACCCCTGTTGCGACGTTCTTGTCTTCTACTCTGTGCACACATATTATCAGCAGGACCGTGTCACCGTCTATCAACTGCTTGTGGGTACACTGCAAAGCAGCCGGTACATAGTCTAGTGTCCGCAACATCCATCATGTGGCGGTGCACACCACACAGCTATACCCAACGCCGTCCTATCCTTGTGCCGCTGGTATGCCAACGTCGACCTGTGGGCGTACTGCAGGGTCACGTGCAGAACATGTATTGCATGCCGTTCGTTGTGGGTGAGCGTGAAGGATAGATATGTGATGTATGTAGTCTACACGATCCGCCCTGTCATTCATACAACAACGGTTTTTTGTCCATCATTAGTCATCCACACTCTCTGTCTCTTCACCTGTCTGCTGTTGCTGTACCTACATGCCCGGCAGCACAAAAAAATAGTTTGCATCATACCCTGGAACACAGGTATGTATAACGGAACTTTTTAGGTTCAATGATTTGGCCCTGCCCACCGTCATTCCCCTGACATCGCGACTGCTCGGGACATTGTTTTCGTTTTATGCACGTCAGCACGCGCTCGTGCGAAATACACTTAATTTTAGAAATGAAAGGTGAAACCGACTTTTTTTGTATTTCGACGAAAAATTTAATTGCGCCGCGTTTTTCTCTCTGTTGGCTGTTGCCAGACGAAGCCCCCGTCCCACTCTCACTTCTGCCACCCACACCTCCACACAAACACCACCTACCACCTACCACCTACCACCACCACCTTACCTCTCCAACATCATGCGTTCCGACATCGCCACGGCCATCGCCTTCGGGCTCCTCAGCGTGTGCCCCGTCAGCGCCGCGCCGACGTATTCGTGCTTCGACCCCCCGGACGAGGGCCAGACCAACCCTCTCGGGGAGGGCATGGAGGACGTCGTCGAGTCCGAGTGCTGCGAAGCGCTCATCGACGAGAGGTAAGCTAGATTGAGTAAGGAGTGAGGCGAGACGCGGTCTGCGGTAGATACAGTGATAGTCAGAAGCGTGTCTGTTTTGTTGCTTGCTTTGTTCGCCGACGAGGCGGATCGTATCCACAGATACGAGGATACGATCCATCCATCGACAGAGCATGCGCCACATGTTCCCGAGCCGACCCGTTGTAAGATACGCACACGCATCCAAGTGTTCCTTGCTGCCTCCCTGTGTTCCTTGCTGTCTCCCAGTGCCGCTTGCAGCGGCGGCTCGTGCTGAAAGCGCTGCCCTGTTATGCGTCACTGTTGCCTTTGTCACGGGCTCGAACTCGGCGAACGCACCAACACCCGTTGTACATGTGGTACCCAACATTTTGCATAGAGCAGGGCAGTGTATCCGACCAAATTGTTGTAAAGATTACGTTACAACATCTTGATATTCTCGAAGCATCAAGTCAGTCAACGAGACAAGCTGGCAACAGACATGCACGCGTACACCCACAGCAGCACAGCGCAGACAATGTAGTCTCTCGCTAAAGACTGTGGGCTTGACTTGCTGCGAGCGGAACGCGACGGAATCGTGTGCAAAGACGTGCGTAAGTATGAACACTAATTCTGGCTCCTTCAAACACGCACGGCAATAATGTACAACGAACCCAGTTCTGACGGCTGCCATCAGGAATTATGCAAGTTACGTGACTTTCGAGAAGGAACGCCTCCAGCGAGCCACGCTACGTTACAAGCAGCAAGAGTGCAGATCATCATGTAGTAGGTTGCGCCCACGCCGAGAGCGGTTGTGCAGGAGTAGCTCAAGCTTCCGCTTACAGCTTTGTCGAAGTACCAAACTCGAAAC